CTTTATACTATGTATAGATTACAAATGCTTTTACATTCAAAGCGAGAACATTCGAATGTATTCATCTACCTATTTGCATGTATATATATATATTAGACTGTCCCAAAAAATTAACATTGTTTTTTTTTTACGCATACCCCCTCATTTCATTGGTGTTATCTTAAAAAATATCCGAATAAAATTGTATGCAATTCTAACCACGGCAACCCGTGCCGACTTGCAGTCAAAGTTATCAGAATAAGCTTGTTGCAGTTCGCGTGTTTTGTTAATTTATTCATTTTACTTCTTTATAAGACGGTATTACTATACTCCCTACAGTATTAGGACGTAATATTTAGTAAATCTGCGTTTTTGGTTTTTTACCTGGTAGTCAGGATTTTTTCCAAAGGACCATAAATTATAATATATTTCCAAAAGTTTACACAAAATATGGAGATATGGGTATCAAATGAAAGAGGAACTCGAAACAATATTAACTATAACTTTTGTTTCCAATTATCCTTTAGGAACATGTCAAAAATGGACTTTAAAAATATTATCCTTCAAGATTTTTAATTTGAATGAGTTTTGAAGAATCTTAGTTTAATTTAAAGCTATGGTGTAGTAGTAAGCAGTGCGCGCTTTCACACATCAGCACCTGGGTTCAAGCCCTGGTCAAAGCAATATCCCAACATCTTAACAGCGGTCATCCCTCGGCAGGCAATGGCAAACCTCCGAGTGTATTTCTGCCATGAAAAACAGCTTCTCATAAAAATACAATCGCCGTTCGGAGTCATCGTAAAATTGTAGGTCCCTCCGCTTTGTGTGACAACACTAAGGCGCAAACACTATAATATGTGTAAGCGCCAATCTATTATTATATTATTATTATTAATATATATAAGGATACTAAAGGATACACATTTCAAAGGATATTTTTTAAATTTTCGAATTAATACTGCCTCATTTATTCTCTAATCAACCCGAGAGGACATGTCAAACACTAAAACACGTTATTTCGTTTATTTAATATTATGAAATGCATTTTTCTAAAGAAGGAAAAGAATTTGTTATAAAAGTTGAATATAAAAAATTAATTAAAAAAATTTTCTAAAATTGCAAATTTGCAGGACATTCACAAATTATTGAACTAAAAAACATATAGTTTTGCAGCCTTGTAATACACCGCTTCAAATCCACTATGCTTTTTCCATTAATTAATTTCATGATCCAGAAATTTAAAAATTTTTCTTAAAAAAATGCCTTACAAAATATTAAATAAACCAAATCATATTCTTTCTTATTTTATACGTCCCTTCATTTGTAATACAAGTTGAAGTTAATAATTTAATGTTCACCATAGCCCTGTCACACCAATTAAAAAATGTTCTACAATTGCAATCCTTCAGGACATACACAAATTATTCGACTAGAAAACATATCGTTTTGCAGCCTTGTAATACACGGTTAAAAAGCCGCTATACTTTTATTGCAATCGCATAAAAATTGTCGAAGTTAGGCGACTTTTCTTGGCAGTGTGGCTAAGGAATTCATAAATATTTATTCAAAATTGATATATACAATCGCTCTTTAGCAAAAACGGGGGTTTTCCAAAAATTCAAGGAAAATGGGAGTGGCACCGCCCACTTATATCATATATGTGCATCTACTACTTGACCGATCTCGACCAAATTGGTTATACACATTGTGCTTAGCCTCCTTAAGTTCCATCTTGAATGTTTTTAAAATCAAAAATTTTCAATATGGCACTTAAAAGGCCTAAACAAAATGGGTATCCCAAATTTGGTCGAGATCGGTCAAGTAGTTTTTGAGATACAAATA